ATAAGGAGGCAACTTGATGATGACGATCCCGATAGCTTACCCAGGCGGGATGAGATGCGCCTCAGGCCAGCGGCTGCATTGAAGCACACTGGATACGGGACACATTGATTTTATTCTTTTTTTGTATTATATATAAATAATATTTTTGCATATACATTAACAACAACTTTTATATAATATGTGCATTACTTTTTTATTTCTCCGTTAATTAGCTAGTGTCGTACTACAACACAAACACAAGTTGTAAAGAAGTAAAATTTCATTACAATGACTTAAAATAAAGTTCATTACAACTACTTTAACTTAATACTACAACACGAACACAAACATAGCAACTTAACATAAAAAAATGCTTCAGTACAACTAATAAAAATGCACGACAACACACATAAAGATAAATTGATACACTAAACACATACATTTAGTCACTGCCGCCCATTATTCTCTGCTCCAACCACTTAAATTGTTCTAACAGCTTATTTTTCTTCTTCTACCTCTTTAAGTTTCGCTTTCAACTCCACAACCTCTTTTTTAAGTTGTTTTTCACGTTCCCACTGTTTTAAACACAAATCATTAAGATCGTTCAACAATCCTTTGTAGTATTCCTGATGACAATGTTCATCAATTCATACCTCAAAATCACAAATAGGTTCGCCGGAAACCTTATAAAACTTGTTCAAACATTCCCAGAAGCGGCGACCAGCTGCACCATTATCCTAACAACTTTGCATCTGGCATTTTTTTCCGCACTTGCACCTTGGGACATAAATAGGCTGAGACATTTTTTTGTTAAAAACTTGCTTTTCAAGGAAGATTTGCTATTAGTTATTTTTTAGCAAAGAAATATGTAGAATGAGCTCGTCATTTATAGGCAAGACAACACACATAACGTAGTATTTAACCGCACTATATATAGACATAACGTAATATTTAACCATGCTATGCCTTGCGTGTTTAATGTTCTGACGGGTATGAATCTGACGGGTACGAAACAGCTTTATGCCAGATCGACAAGACAACACACACACATAACGTAGTATTTAACTGCGCTATATATAGACATAACGTAGTATTTACCCGCGCTATGCTTTGTGTGTTAAATGTTCTAACGGGTACGAAATAGCTTTATGTCAGTTGGGCAGCTTTTTCAGATCGACAAGACAACACACAGTCATAAATTAATCAAATTTATGAAAGTTCAATGTTGTTTCAAGTTCTTCCGAATATATATATATATTTTTTTTATTAAAAAACTAAAATGGAGAAATTCAACTCATAATTAACAAACATAATTTTATTTTATAAATCTTGCAACATAAACAAAACAACTAAATATTACAACACAAACTCATTGATAGTTAGGCACAATAGAAGAACATCCACCCCGAGCTTGATTACTGTTGCCACCCAAAGGACATTTTCGACGGTCGTGTCCTGTTTGCGAGCATATACCACATCTGCACGCATAAACGGTATCACTAACATCCATTTGGTTCCGTATACGCGTTCTCTTATTCACTTGTATTCGACACAAATAGGACTTGTTACACACCATTTTAAATGGTTCAGGCGGCCAATAATGCTCAGCATCCACTAGCTGCAACTGCCCACTATATGTGTTTAGGTACTTCGCAACACTATATTGTTGATCAACATAGTTGGTTACACATAAACCAACTTGTTGAAAGCACTTGATGGCATGCGATCAAGGCATGTGGTAGATGGACCATTTCCTACAAGAGCATAACCTTGTAGATTCATTTACAATATGTACATTATTACCCCAATTTTGATGGATAGCGGTGCGAACTTCAAAAGTATTTCTTTCGTTATCATACTGCAAAAATTAATGCCAATGTACTCGCCGTCTGTATTTCTCAAATCTCTGCATCGGCACTGGCATAAATTCAACACCTCTTTCCATCAATGATGTTGCAGCTGCAGACCTTTCAACAAACCTCTCTGCCATCTGCTTGAACGACATCCGCACCATGGCTGTGACAGACAATCCTCTTGCCGACTTCAATAACCCGTTGAAAAACTCTGACACATTTGTAGTCATAGTTCCTCATCGTCTGCCACTATTCGCATGCAAAGTCCACTTTTTAGGGTCATGTCGCATTAACCAACGATAGGCTGCCTCGTCTTCTTGCCTAATTTATTCCATGTGCCTCTGGAATTTATGTTGTTGTTGGTCTGTTGCTGCCATCCACATCAAATCATGCAGATCTTTGTTGGAATATGCCTTCTGGAAATTGGCTTTAAGGTGCCTAACACAGTAACAATGGTAGGCATAAGGTTCTTGCCATGCAGGCAAGTTCCCCACGGAACTTAAAATACCACCGTGCCGATTAGATATTAGACAAATACCAGAACGTTGTTTGACAACGTGCTCTTTCAAGTGGTTCAAAAACGGCGTCCACGTCTCTTGGCTTTTATTGGCACAAATAGCAAAAGCTAGAGGAAATATCTGTCCAGCATCTACTACCACAGCTATCAACAGCTTGATATCGTACTTTCCATATACATGAGTGTCGTATATGGATATTACGGGCCGACAATGCGAAAAACCATCAATTGCTGGTTTAAACGCCCAGAACACGTAATTGAATGTATATTCTGGTTTACCTGGAATCCGCTCAAGCTTCCATTCAACAACCATNCTTGATATCGTACTTTCCATAGACATGAGTGTCGTCTATGGATATTACGGGCCGACAATGCGAAAAACCATCAATTGCTGGTTTAAACGCCCAGAACACGTAATTGAATGTATATTCTGGTTTACCTGGAATCCGCTCAAGCTTCCATTCAACAACCATCCCGGGGTTAAACTGCTGCAGTGTAGCCATGTACCTAGGCAGATCTGCAAATGACTTATCCCAGTTACTATGGACTATTTCAAATGCTCGTTTGCGCCCGAGATATGCCTTTCTTTTAGTAATGGTATGGCCATGTTCCTGGTGGACTACTGTAATGCACTCTTTGATTTTATACCTTATGGACGCTTGGATGTGTGGAATAAGAACAAGAGAAATCAAGTCAATATCTAAGTTGAAGTGATTCCCGTTGAATGTGTCCATTTCGCATGTGTGGGTGGGAATGTATTTACCCACTTTCCACATACTTGTCTTCTTCTTGATCGCACGCAACATCCAATGACATGGCCAAATCCACCTGCGACAAACAACCTTGTATACAACTGGACTTGACTCTCATACTATCATCTCACGATACTCTTTTACGTTGTGCATTTTACAAGCCCTGCTTAGGCGCGCTTTATCAGGAAAAAGCATGCCCTTTGCCAGCACCATTGGTCTAGACTCATCCCACATTGCTGTCCGAATTTCATCAAAATCCCTTATGAGAGCTTCCACATCCGGCATGTTTGACAAGTTATCAAGGTAAGGAATCTCCCTTGAATAAAACGACACTTAGGACTCGTACACTCTTCGTCTAGGAGGGGTGGAGCATACTCTCTCGTCAAATCAGGTCCTTCCTTCTCATCCTCTTCATCACCATCCTTACGAAGAAAGGGTGTCTCGTCTCCAGATTCATCAACATTGTTGTCGTAATCACTGTTCTCTTCCTCACTCTGTGCATCTGTCAAATCCCGATTTAATACGTCGTCTTCGGGCAATTGAGTGAGTACATTTGATTCAACTTGCTCGTTTTCACTGCACAATCAACAAAATAATAAGATGCTGAATTTAATAAATATTTTCCATATAGCCGTATCACTTCACTTACAAGTCGTAATGTGATGAAATTCCATGATGGATATTTTCATTTAGGTGATGGCTCCCGGATGGACCACCATGATCCAACACACCAAAACTATGCTTGGGTTCAAAATTTGTAAAATTCATATCCGGCTTGTACCCCCTTTTAAATATATAAGCGTTAATGCAAATTCAATACAACAAAAATGTACATCGTAACACAAAGGAAAATTGAAGCTTACCACTCGTCTTGTGAATTATGTAAAGCATGCGGGGATAAGTTTAAATCAAGGAAAACTCTTTTATCTGGAACCTGTCCGGCAAAAACTCCTCCAGAATAGCCACCCGATGACTGGGGGTTATCCGGAACCTGTCCGACAACCTCATTGTTTAGAACGTCTTCGACCTTGACGTACATATCCAACATATTTATTACAAGATATTCCCGGTATTTATCCGGAGTCATCAGAAAATCCCTCAAAGTTTCATCATCGTAGATGTTTAACTCCGAGTAAAAAGCAGCCCCTTGCGGAGTGACAGAATACGGATATCTTCCGGTTACTTTAAGTATCACTGAACGTTTCCTCACACTCATTTTTTTTGCATAACGATATCAATTTATCGTACTCTATTGTGAGTGGTAACTTAACATGACCCTGTGGAGATAAACTATACCTCACAGAGTTATTCTCCATCACAACATCACCCTCCCCCCAATATAATGAAACTCTTATTCTACGCTCTTCAGACATTACGAAAAAAATGCTTCAGAATTTAACAACAAGAAAAAATTGAACGGGAGTTAGAATTTTATGTGAACGAATTTTCTTAAAATCCTAACCACTTTATATAGGAAATGGCTAGCCCGGGATATGGAAATTTTTTGTCGTATAGAATTCTTTAAATATACGCTATACACATTTAAATTATTGTGTTTGTCAGTTCACTTATTGGTGGGTCCATATTCAGGGTATAGCGTTTTTTTTTGGGCGTTATATGTATAGCGTATGAATACAAGACGTTATACCTTAACGGCAGACGTTACCGTTAATATATAGCGTCTTGTATTTACACGCTATATATAGAAATGTATTTTTTTTAAACACCTATTAAGGTAATTTGAGTAAAAAAAACAATATTTAGGTTCCGGACTCCCCGAAATGCCCAAGTTAGGAGACAAAAAGCCACATAAACGGCTACAATTCGCCAGATCTAAGACACGTGTACGGTAAAAGAGGGTTTAACAGTATAATCTGATAATGCAGGTTCAGTTACAATCTTGTAGTCTCCACGAGAGCCGATCGTCTGCTCCTCAGTCACCGTAACACCCCTCAATAAGCAAAAACAAAAAGAATTTTTTTAAAAAAAATCTCTTCCTCAATATACAGTCGGCGGCCGCCGATGATGCCGCCGGAAGATTGTCCTGGCCGTTCCTGGTATCTTCCTCAATTTCCGATTGTACGATCCTCTCTTTGCTATGTCCCAATTCACAATTTAGGGCTTTTAACTGACTAAGAATTTTACACTCCGCTTCGAATAGTAGAACGGTAAAAGTAAATTTTGAGCTGATAATTCTTCTTACATTTTGTTTTCTGAGAATTTGAAGTGTAGGTAAAAAAAAAAATATGAGCAGTTGTGGCCGTCAAATTCGTTGAAGTAAAAGCTGCAGAATGGTAAGTGTTTCTAGTCTTTATTAGAAGCTCCATAACGTGAGTGTTTGTGCGGTGATTTTATTGTATTTTTGGGGTGCTTATTAGAAGAAAATTACATTCTTTCTGTTACTAAAAGAGTGGTTGGTTTTGTGGTGCAAGAGTTAACATACCTAATTTTAATTTTCAGTATAAATTCAGACAGTCTCTTTTCTTAATTCCTATGAAATAAAATTTGCACATTTACACAGAAGATGGTAAATTAAGGCAATTGTTTTGATTTTTTTATAGTAACAGTGTCATTCTTTTTTAGATGAAGGAGTATTAATTTTCGTTGAAATGTCAGATGTCCAGTAAGTGGAACAATTCTGTCCGAATGACTTGGATTATTTACTATTAAAGATAATATGTTTTTGGTTTTGCTTAATACTTGTACTCAGTGGTGAAATTAGTAGTGTTGCTTCAGTCTACCACTTTAAGCTCTAGTCCATTACTTAAAGCTAAAATTGTCAGTAGAAATCAATTTTAATCCATTTCTAAATAAAAAACAATGTTGATGAGATGCTGTGATTTTGCTGATATCTTCTTTGTGATGCGTCTCATACTTGGTCTTTGCATCAAGTTATATATAGTTTCTTTTGTTGGTTAGTGCTGAGAAATTCTTGTCACACCGTCGTGCTATTTTCACCACCCCCCCCCCCCCCAAAAAAAAAAAAAAAAACCCAACCACCACACTCGTTTGTTTTCACCTGCTTTGTTCCAATTCACAAACCCTGCCCACCATTCCTGTTTACCATAAGGAGATTATACTGCGAGGAATCAACCTATCTAGTTCATTCATATTAGATCTTTTCCAGTCTTTCCATGACAAGGACTTTTGGATACCAAAGGGTGGTGGACATCTATCCGACGGACAAGCAGTTTTTGATAGCTCATCAAGAATTGAAGCAAAGCGAACTCACCCATTGTTCTCCAGTGCTGCTGAGCCGGAGTTATTTCCTAACAAGAAACAAGCTGTCAACACTTCACTCGGCAAATCAGCTTCCGAACTTGCAATGGAAAATTCCACATGTTGGGAGACTACTTCTGGTCTTCAGTCAGGAGCATGCCAATTCATTGATAGGCTGTTTGGAGTTGGTACCCCCAGGCCAATCGACTTAACTGAGAGAAGCACGTCTCCTGGTAACGCAGGGAATTCAACCACAAGGGAAAAGGTGATTGACAACCAAATTGGAGATGATACATTAGTTGGTTTATCAATGTCATACACTACTGAAGAACCACATATATGCGTAAGCGATAGTGGAATCAGAAAAGTTAAAGTTAATCAGGTTGAAGATTCAGCGAATGCTTTTCATTCACCAAGTGAAAACAACATTGACATGTCTATCGGACAGGTAAAGAATAGAGTTAGTGAGACATCCTTTTTATGCATGGGTCATGCATATGGGAAGAACAGTGAATGTCAGCCCTACAATCCTGGGGCTATAAGTACTAGATCCATTGGATCCAATGTTGAGAAAGGTCACAATACTATATCAATTGCTGACTCCTATACCGGAGGGGATTCAGACACATTATTTGGATATGAATTGGTGTCTGATATTGATGTTCTGGCAAGGCCAGTTGGTAGTTATGATTATTTGCATTATCAATCGTCAGTTCAGACATCAGAAACACATGGTGACAAGCAGCTTGATGGATCAAATGCTAATGCAGTTGATATATCCTCTCAGACTTCAAAATCTACGCATGATTCCATGCCAAAAAACAAAATAGAATGTAAATCTGCACATAAAGGAGCTCCTAACAGCTTTCCGTCAAATGTTAGAAGTTTGGTGTCAACAGGGATGCTTGACGGGGTACCTGTAAAATATGTCTTGTCCCCGCAGGTACATTTCTCTCTATTTGAATTTCATTAATTTTGCTGTCAATGGCTTACCAGCAATCTTCCTGCGTGTTATAATTAAGGAGCTTCGTGGTATTATAAAAGGTTCGGGCTACCTATGCGGCTGTCAACCATGTAACTATTCAAAGGCAAGTTATTCACTTTACTTTTTCATTCATATAGCGTTTTTTGCCTGTGTGCTGATTTTGCAATTATATACACATTTGAAGGTGCTTAATGCCTATGAATTTGAGCGTCATGCTGGTTGCAAGACAAAGCACCCTAACAATCACATATACTTTGAGAATGGAAAAACCATATACCAGGTGACACAGGAGCTAAGGAGCACACCACAAAGTTTGTTATTCAATGCGATTCAAACGGTGACTGGTTCCCCTATCAATCAAAAAGCTTTCCGAATTTGGAAAGGTAGTTGTATCCAAATTAATTCTCTCTCTCTCTCTCTTTGTGTGTGACAAGTCATCAAATATCTGATGCATATGATTTATGTTCGAACTGATTCTCATCATCAGAGTCATTTCAAGCTGCAACCCGAGAGCTTCAGCGAATATATGGAAAGGAGGAACTGAATCTGTAAGTTCAATGCTGGTGGATCAATGGGAGTATAAAGAATGTTCTTGTCCATGTAAATAAGAGACAAATAACTTTCTTGATGTAAAATATGTGGACTATATGCTCCGGCAATTGTAATTTGACAGCGCAAGCGTTTATGAACAAATCTGTAACATACTAAATAAGATTGCAATGGCAGATCATGTTCTATTTCACTGGAGTACGGCCATCCAGTTATTCACAGTATAGCCATGACGGACTGCGAGTTTGGTCCTTATTTCCTTTTTCATTTTCTCGGGAGTGGGGTGGGAATCCAGTTATACCGAGTCATTTCTTTCTGGAGGAAGCTTTTGCCTCGTATTTCCAGTCTTTTTCAGGTCGACGAACACCTGCCCTCTTTGAGACAGCATCAAGAAATTTGAAGTATATGGTAGTAATCCATTGTAATATACTCTACTATAAAGAAGCGGCCTTGAGAGAGATTTTGGGTATGTCCAACACTCAACAGGATTAATACGAACAGGGTTAAATGCCCGGTATGGATAAGTTTTTTACCCTGATGTAAATAACTTTCTACGAGTTCCAGTTATCCAACAAAAACGTAGTACTTGCACATAAAATTCAGGGACAGCCAGCTAGATTATCAATTATCATGTCCTTGAGTTAATGAAGTTCAGTAGAGAGGAATAACCAAAGAGGTGACAGAGACAGTAGCGAACTGTATGCACCAAGGAGAGGATTAGCTTATAGCCATGGGGGTAATTTTTTTTTAAGTAGTTCACTTATTTTTACCTTTCCTTTTTCTTTTGTAGAGAGAGGATAAAAATTTAACTAACTTATAATTAGTAGCAAATTAAAACAACATAACTAATAATCGAGCACAAAATACAGTCACATAATGAGAGGATTGTCCGAATAAAAAAAGTACATTTGTCAAAAGATCATAATTTGATTCATTCTCTGTCACCAATTTCGGGAAAAATATCATTGTGTCAAGAGTTAAGAACCAAAAAAATAAATATGGTTCACTAGAATAGGAGTTAGAAAGCGTGGAATCCCTCCTCCCCAATTCAAAATTCATATTTTAAACAAAATAAATAATTACCAGATGTCCTACCAATCAAATTAAATAAGGTCCTTTTCTAGGAGAAATTGACCTTCTAAATTTATATCCACTTCGTTTTCTGATTATGGAGCTCTATTTGAATTTGGTCCGAGAAGATGATAATTCACACAGTGAGGATTTTGCTTCATATACCCACCCACCCGCCTGTGAAAATAAAATAAATGTTTTTTTTACTTGTACATAATTTTTGTTTCCATTTTATATAGTATGACTAGTTTCTTATGCACGTGTATACTAAGGCATGTAGTACACAAATTAATAATAATAATAATAATAATAATAATAATAATAATAATAATAATAATAATAATAACATTATTATTATTAAAATAAAGTTTTAAGTGTAAAATTAGGCATAAAAGAATAAACCACAGGTTTATGTGAATGATCAATGTGGATTTTCGTACTGTGACTTATTTGGCAAGATTAATATAATTAGATATCTTTTAAACCTATGAAGATAAAACAATCGAAGTTTAATTAGATACACATGATTGTTTAATTTATTTCAATCTTATGAGTTATAAAATATAATGAAGTGAATCTTACATAAACTTCCTTATAAATGATATTCTTGGTATATGTTCCTTTTTATATGTCTCAATTGCTTTGTCATTAACAAAACTTATGTTGTCAAATTAGAACATGTTTCATATTACATATGAGTTGGATTCAACTTTCCAAGAACATGACCCTTGATAGGAAGGTGTAGAGGTTGAGCTTTAGGGTTGAAGGTTAGGAGGTTGTTAAGTGTTTTCTACTCTGTACTGGGTGTAAGGCTAGTCTGATAGTGTCTTGTCTTAGACTTCTAGTGGTTCATGTTGTGTTCATACTATTTTTTCGCTCCGTTTACCTAGTACCTTGCCATTATTAATGGTTATTGATATTGGTTTTTCCATCTAATTTTCTGCTTCTTAGGTTACTGGTATTATTTTTCTAGCCTTTGTTGTTGTTACTGTTTTATTGTCTCTTTTCCTCTTCTTGAGCTGAGGGTCTATTGAAAGCAACATCTATACCCATTAAGGTGGGGTAAAATCTGCGTACACACTACCCTCTCCAGATCTCATTTATGAGATTATACTGGATGGTTATTGTTGTTGTTGATATCTTAATTTAGGAAAATCTTGAATCATTTAGCTAAACAGATAATAACATAGAATTCACTTATACCTATAGTATATATTGTGGAAGTCCTTTTATTGAGTAATTATGTTTGCGTAATATAGATATATAATTTGTGGAAACTAATTGTCACGATCCGAATTTTCCACCCTCGGGAGTCGTGATGGAGCCTACTAGTGAAAGCTAGGCAAGCCAACCAATTGAACTATCTACCTTATTTCCATTTTTAATCCGATAACGGTTAAGAGCCAACAATTAGATAACAACATAATTGAATAAGCGGAAGACTACATTGTAAAGATTTAATACTACTGCTAATACCAATCCATAACAAATCTACCCAAGACTGGTATCACAACTTCACAGACTGTCTAGGAGTACTACAAATAAAGGTCTGAAAGAAATAAATACAACACTGTCTCTGAAAATACATGAAAGAAACAGGAATAGTAGATAGAAGGAGACGCCAAGGCCTGCGGACGCTTGTAGGACTACCTGNTTAAAGCTCTAGTTCACAATTTAATCCATTTTTCACATAAAAACCTTCCAGAAAATTATACGGATTGCGCACGAAAGTCGAGGAATTATTGATACCGCTTTTCAAGGTCTTAAAAATACCGAGATGATTATTTAATTTAAAGATGACATTTTGAGTCATCACACTAATCTATTTATATATATTTATATTATTATAAAAGCACGAATGTTAAATGCTAAATGTTGAACGACAAAAATATCCTCGAAATACTGATTGACTTTTATACCCCTAAAATCTAAATTTTGTTTTTGAAAAAGATAATAGGTATTGGATAGAATAGTAATATTAACTTCATCAACTATGTCGAATTCTGATTCAACTAAAATCCTGCCTCCCTAAATTTTGGACAACTGGCCATGAATTCTGAATTTGAATTTTGAGAAGATAAATAAAGAAATTAAGTTATAAAAACCGTAAAAAGCTACGGAAAACATATATAATAGCCACCAAATGTGTTTTATAATTATTCGGCTACTAAATAGTCAATTCTTTTAATATTATTATATTATTATATAATTCTTTCCGGAGGTTAAGCAAATTTAGTTATGTAATCCCTACCTTCGTCTCTATCTTATACGGTTTTTGACAACGAAAATCGGACTACAAGCTAATACATACTTTTAGTATTTTATTAAATTGAATACATATCTTATTTATAGGTGGATGTCATACAGTTAAATATATTTATTCATACATCAAGCTAAGTCAATAAATCTTTAATTACATCTCCTTGATAAGCAATTGGGTGAAAATTATAATGGAAAGTCAACTTTATTTTTATTTTTTATAAATAACCAAATATGCAATTTCTAACGAATATTTATACTTAATGTACTACATGAAAAGGTAAAAACTACAAATTGTTATAGCATCAGTCAAGAACTATGCTTCAATTGTTGGATATCGTCTTAACCTGCAAAGGTAATATAATTAGTTAAGTTTAGATAGTATTTGTTCTTAGAGCATAATAACAAATAGATCATCTTTGCAGGTTAAGACGATATCCAATCATTGGAATTCAAGTTTTTTTTTAATGTTAATGTAATAATATTGATATTCAAAGCAATTCTTTTAAAATATTTTAATAACTTTACTCTATTGCTATATCATAAAAATAATTGACTGAAGATTTAGTGCAACACACTTATATAGAAACTAGTTATTATAAAAATAGGAACCCCAAAAGTGAAAAGTCAAATTACCAAAATATCCTTCTAAATAACTTAAATATCCTATTATTAAAAAAAAACAATAATACACGTTTGTTTGAAATGATGTAAGTTGTAACTCTTCACAAAGGCTACTAATGATGTCCAAAATTTTAAAAGTTATTATTAACGGTTGCTTTTTTATTTATTTATTAGAGAGTTAAATCTCTTATTTCACTAAAGATTGACGAATCAATTATAACCCTTATTGAAAGTGTCCCCTACAACTGTTATCTTATTATCAGAATTTATTCAAGCAAACTCCTTACTCTTTCATGGCCATGACATCAAATTCTCAAGCAATAATAATATTAAGTGCGACTCTATATTTCCCTGGCAAGTCGCCCTCAACTTTATACTTGTTTATGTCATGCGAGGATCAGAAGAAACATTACTCCGACGTCTTCTGCTAATACAAACAAAGTAACAATCATTTTCAATTGTATTATAACACATCTCTTCTAATGGTCTCGCATTTTTTCAAAGATTTGTATTATGGATATGTAATCTATATATAGGATAAGTTATCAGTACTCCTAGGATTTTTGTCTTTCCAAATCACATTTACATGCTCCTCCATCCTAAGCAATAGTTCTTAATGTATGTTGTTCAGTAATACAAAAATTAATTAGAACAAATTAAAAAGCATGACAATAATTACTTCTATTGCATGATTAAATTTCTTATTCGTAATATTGTGATTTACATTGTAACTTTTTCATCATCAAGTTATCCGAAACTAAAATACTAACACTTAACAAATAATAAAGTTGTTAACTTGAAAAGAAAATTATTATTATTTTATTTGGCAGAGATAATGTATTAATACTTCTAACATTACAAGAAAAGAAAGCATAGACACCGTTAAAAATAATCTCAAAATAAGATATCTTGAACTAATTACTAAATAAGGTATTTCAAATTTATTATTTCGTTGATTAGCCTTAGAATTTTTTTATGTGAAATATTACATTGCTAATTTAATCAGTTTTGTTTCATACAAATTTTTATGAAGACGTTACGGGTGCGCTTATATTTCTGTCTTTTTAGCCACTGCACTACATTCACATATTATATATGTTGTTTGTTTAGAGTGTATTATTCTTTTTCAAAATTTTATTTCAAACAAACTTTTGTTTAAAATTATTATTCGTTTCCTAACATATTTGGTATTGCATCTAATGTAAATTTATTTTGCACTCTTTTAGCAGGTTGCTTGGATTACT